TATAATTAAAATACACAGTAATTAATACGGAGTATACAATTATGTAGTCACACGGTTATATAATTAATACCTTGGTTAATTATTACTTTTTTTTATTAAAATTACTATAATTAAAATATAGTAAAATGTAGCCATTATAAAATATAGCCACTATAATTAAAATATAGCCATTATAAAATTACTATTATAAAATTACTATAACTAAAATTACTATAATAATATGACACGGTAATTAATATACAATTATGTAGTCACACGTAATATTAGATTTCATTAATAGCGTAATATACAATTTTAATTAAAATTACTATAATTAATTTAACACGGTAATTAACATTTAATTACTGGTAATCACACGTATTATTATAAGTCTATAATTAATTTGATACGGTAATTAACATTCAATAACTATAATTAATTTGACATGGTAATCACATGTAACATACAATTTTAATTAAAGTTACTATAATTAAAATCACACGTAAGATTCCAATTTAAATAAAAACTTACGCTTTCCAATTTTATAACTTACCTTTCTTGCTAGTATAATTTCTGACATTTTAAAAATGACAGTTAATTATTATAAAAAAAATAGTTATATTAACTTCACAATTACCACTTTATATTACTATAATTTTGGACACATATCATTTTAACTTCACAATTGCCATATGTAATAGACATACTTCGTGCACGGGTTAAAAATAGACACTATAATTTTAGACACTTACCATTTATATAAGTAATAATTGCACGGAGTAATAACTATTACATGTTTTTGTTATTACCTTTCTTGCTATTAAACATAAACATAAATATAAATATATATATATATATTTAAAGGGTTTACCGTATTAATTTTTTTCGAAACTGTGTGTATAATTATTCTTACCATAATTATATTATACTATAATCACACACATTTTTTATGTAACCTAGTCACACCATAATCATATAATTATATAATTATGGTAAGAATAATCATACACATGTTTTTAATAGCATTGATTGGTGTGTATTAAAGTTTATAAATATTTTTTATAAATAATTTTTGCCTATTAATAATAATCAGCCTTAATGAATTACCTTTTTGTTTAATTCATAATTGCGTCGGTCTACATTATTACCCTTTTTAATAATAATCAGTCTTATTAAATATAATACTTTTAAATTTTTATCATTAAAGAGAAAAATTTTAAAAATGGCAATTTCTGGATTTTTGTTACTTTAAAAAGGGTAATTTTAAATAATTATGACAATTAATTATTATAAATATAATATAATAATAATGATCCATAAATATATCCATGTCCACAAAGAAATAAAAGAATCCATAAATTTCACACAAGCTTATAAAAAAAACCTAACATAATCTATTAAAATCTGAATTGAATACACCCCTATACAGAATAAAATGAAAATTATGTAAATGATATTTTATGGAAAGAAAATTGTTGTGAACATGTAAACTGTACCTTGAGCAATTTTTGCAAATATAGAAATTCGTACATCTTTTTACGGTAAAAAGACTAAACTAGAGTAAAACATTGAAAAAGTATCAAAATAAGAGCTCAAAGTTTTTTATCCCTAAAATAGAAGTATAATGTCAATGCTGCCAATATATATTATCAAAAATTACAGTTGAATGCGACTATGAAATGTTATAATATTACAGTACAAAATCAGACAGGACCGGCTGATTCGGATCGCAATTTACTTTGAACTACTTCAAACTAGTGTGAACCGTTAAAACCGGTCGGTTGAACTTTAACCCTCTTAAACGCTATGTTGAGGTGTCAACCAACTAAGCTATGTTGTTTGCTTATCTTGTATTTGACTAATATGTATAATACTCTCTACTTAAAAGAATATATATATATATATATATATATATATATATATATATATAATATGAAACATAATGTGAAATATATGATTGAAACTCTTAACCTTCGATATAATGGATAATATATACAATACATATAATAAAAATAAATCATTTGAATATTTTTAAAAATAATGGGCAAAACATTCAAACAAATGACTCTTATTTTATAAAATACTAGTATGTTAACCCGTGCTATGCACGAAGTGAAACGAAATTGTTTACGATTCTACAATTTGTATTATATTTAATGTAGTTTCTAAATACGTAAATTTGTTTTTTATTTAATGCCAAAGTTTAAATAAATTAAATTGATTATTACTTCAATGACGCATTATAAATTATTTTTTATATGTGAAAGGGTTATTATTTTTATTTTATACCCCCCCCCCCCCACACACATATAACTTTTCAAATAGGTTTAAACCACAGGTTCGACCAATAACCAGTAAATCAGTGTCTTAATCGCTTCGATCACCGATTCAGTTTTGAAAATTATATAGTAAATGTTATGTTTTACTCCTGCTTAGGATTATTTTTTTCTGAACGGACTAAACTGGAAAAAAAATAAACACGTCTTTAAAAATGTAATTTAAATTTTTTCCAAGTTTGCTCCTTCCACCTCTAATTCAACTTCTTACTGCGCCCATGTTCTCTTCTCCTTATATGAATAATTTTGATATGATTGTAATAAGTTCTGATCTGATCTGATTTGAGTGTAGTTATATTTAAAGTTATTTCTGATCTGATTCCAATAATCAAAAGTAATAAGTAATAAGAATATATTGAAGAAACATGACCTATGTACGAGTATTTGTTTTGTTTGCTCTTTAAAAATGTATGTACTCTGTTCGAAATTCTGTGATTGAAGTTTATGCATAAATTGATTAAAAAATGAAGTGGAATAACTTACTCTAATTTGTAATTATCTATTTAGAGTAAATGCAAATTTTATTTTAGAAAATTAAATACAAAATAAATGAAAAATATTTAAGAACAAGAAGAGAAATACTACATTCGTCTCAAAGTATTTGTCCGGTTTATATTTTTAAGTGAAACAGGAAAGACTTTGATCATCAATGATATAAAAATTAAGCTTCAGAATAATATAAAAATAATTTTATTAGAGCTATCTTACAAAAAAATTTAAAACTTATTCCATTATATAAATATACTGTACGATTTTTATTTAATTTATTATCGAAGTTTGTTTAATCTGACTCAATGGGACGAAAACTCTAATGCCATGTTTGGATGCAAATATTTTCCCCAAGTAAAATAGGAAGGAAAATATGAGAATAAAATGGTGGTTAGGTACTCTTTTATCACCCCCACCCACCCACCCACCCATTTTTCTTCATCTCCCAAATAAGAAAAGGATGAGTCCCACTCTCGAATGTCAGTGAAGATAAATTAAAATGGTAACAGAGAGTGCAGCCTGCATTTGGTACAAGCAAAGGCTCTATATTTAGGGTCTGTTCTTTAGTACTGGAAAAAAAGAGTTGGATATTGGAAAAAACTGGAAGAAACTGGAAAAAAAACTGGAAGAAACTGAAAGGAATTGGAAGAACTGGAAGAAACTAGAAAAAACTGGAAGGAGTTGGAAAAACTGGAAAAAAACTAGAAGGAACTAAAAGAAACTGGAAAAAACTGGAAGGAACTGAAAGAAACAGCAAAAACTTCAAAAAATTGGAAAACCTAAAAAAACTTTAAAAACATTTAGTTTATATTCTTGTTGTTACAAATTATTCTTATTATTATTATTATTATTATTATTATACAAAAAGAGTATTATTATTTTTTAAATACAAAAAAAACTACTTTTGCAAAAAAATAATTATAATATAAAGTTAGCATAAATAAAAAAATTTTAAAATTTAAAAAGTCTTTGTGGTTATATTGCACCTCACTTTATTTATGTAGTATTTATTATAAATAATATATTTATAATTGTACTTTATATATTACAAGATTTTGTTTTAAATGTCAGACATGTCACATAATGTAATCAAACTTATTTTTTCTTTCATGATTGAAATTTTATTTTCATTGAAGTCCTATTTTTGAAATAAAGACATAGAACTTTTTTTTACATTTTTTATGTTTTACTCCTATTTTAGTCTTTTTTTCTCTAAATTATTTTGACTTACAACTTTTTTTTTTACATTTTTTATGTTTTACTCCTATTTTGACTTACAATTTCTTTATAAAAATTAGAAAAATGAGCATATTTTAAGTAATAAAGGGAAATGTGAGAGATCTTATATAAAGTTAGATTAATAAAACATTCAATTTCACTATTTTATCCATAATTTTGTTAATATAATTTAACATATTGATGTTTTCCTGTTTTATCATGTAGACTAATATAAAAAAAAAATTCTTATTTATATTAAAAAGTTGAAGAAAAATAATGAGTGTGAATGGTAAAAATAGTGAGATGAAAAAATAATTTATAAACTATAGTTATGAACATAACAGCTATAATAATAATAATAATAATAATGACATTAAAATATATCGTTTTAAGAGTAATTGGTTGAGGAGTAGAAAGAGTTTGAAGAAAATGAGAATAGTTGGAAGAAACTGAAAGGAACTGGAAGAAACTAGAAGGAACTGGAAGAAACTGGGAGGAACAAGAAGAAACTGGAAGAAACTGAAAGTTAAGAGTTCAAGCCCTAAGGAACAGACTCTTAATGTAGTTGTCTCCCAACACAGTTATCAAGAATTGAATTCGGGTCTACACGTACTCCCTTATTTTCCCTCATGTATTTTCTTTCCCCCCTATATTTTCCTCCTTCCAAATGGAGGGTAAGACATATAGAGTATTATTTCGTTTTACTTGCAAATAACGTCAATGTTTTAGATATTTTATTTAATATTATTGGTTAACGTTGAAAATATTAAATCTAGAAATTGTCGTTTCAAAAACATTATCAAAATGGTGAAATTAATGTCAAACGAAACTTACATATTGCCCAATTCCAGAACAACAATGTTATCAACTACTGAACGTTAGTTGAACTGGAGACATCAAACTAATGAGTGAATCATGCCTCTCTGGTGTGTATTTATAATCCTTCCACCCTAGCTAGTTTGGGTAAACTGTAAAATTCCCCTATTAAAAAACTACTCCAGAGTATTATGTACGAGTATTTGTTTGTCAAAAAATAATAATGATGATGCCAAACAAATATTACAACAATTGATCACTACAACAAAACTAACAAAGAGACACCAGCAAGCAACAGAAGCAGCTAAGCATTGTAGTATATGATTTTTCTTTTTGCCATTGTGAGTAAAATGCTTCGCATAAATTACCGCCAACAGTTACCCTTCTGCTCTCTCCCAATTTACCCAAACTGTCCCCGACAATGGCACCTTTGACCAGCCCTGCTCAGGCTTTCAGACGCATGAGCTCATCGCAACTCGATTGCGTTTGAGTATACATGTAAGAACTGACCTGAGTGGCATAATCATCAAGCAGATGGTTTTTGTTTTGTCTGAGAAAATTGTGTGTCCCCAGTTATGACATTGCTGATAAACTTCTCTACCTCCTCTTCAGTCACTTCGCCTTTAAACACAGCAAACTTTCCTCTTCTTGGTTTGTAGGCAAGCAAGAGACGGTCTGCTTGTTTAAACCCTGACTTGTCGAAAGCCTTCAAGAATTGCTCCTGTTTGGTACCATCTAGGAGCGCGTAGGAAACTGATTCTCTCATGCCATAAGGTGTGCTCTGCCTTCTCACTAGTGATTTTTGAGAGACCTGAAAGAAAAAGAAAGGATCAAATCAAGCTCATCTTAGCTCAGTTTGACAGAAACAACAAAGTACACATGGTATTAATACAATAACAAAACATCGATGTTGGGTCCCACGAGAATAAGGTATGGGGAGGGTGTGTGTGAGCAGACCTTGCCGGTACCCCAAAGTAGAGAGGTTGTTTCCAAGAGACCCCCGACTCAAACAACATGGATAATATAAGATGACAAAGGCACATAAAGCAGAGAGGGCACAAAGCATAAAGATGCAAAGAACAAACTAATGCCTAACGAATGAATAAAAATAAAGTTACTTACAGATGATAGAATCTTTTCTAGCTTATCCTTAGATTTAGAGGACCTGAAAACGCCAACTATGCAGACAGGAGAGTTCTTTCCACAAATATCGTCAACGTTAGATCCTGTAAGAAGGGGGATTTGTTTAGACTCAGACCCTCCCTTTTGTGCCGACCCTGCCTTATTGTTCTTCTTCTCAAAGTTCTCAAGTAAACCACTTAAATCTTGAATGGCAGATTTTAGGTCTTTTACAGCAATCCCTGTCTTCAAAATATGTTTCTCCCCATTTGACATCCAACCAACGAGTGCTGGAAGAGCATCGACTCCTAATCTTCTGGCATCAGGATCAGACACATCAAGAACCTGTTTGAAATGAAATCAAGAGTCTTTTACAGAATTCTTGTACAAATTGATCATCAAGGCTATGATTATAACAAAGGTATATTATAAGGACATGGACATTACCTCTGCATCATAGAAAACGAAACTTTTTCTATATAAGCCACTAAGAGCCTTCCAGATAACTGGAGTGTCCTTTTTCGTGGACAGGAGCATGACTTTTGGTAGACCTCCAGCACCACCAGAAGCAATATCAAAGTGATTTATGTTGACACGTTTTGATAATCTAGGAAGATGCTCCTGGCAGAAAATTTTCACACTTCTAACATCCAAGTCACCAAGGTACTCAAGCATGGAACCACTGTCAATTGATTTAAACGAATATACAAACAGCCTAGGTGCACTGCGTGGATGTAAGCCGAACTCCTTGCAAAGAGATGACTCAGTAACACAATTTATCTTTCCTACCTGTTATTAGTTAAAAGCATTTCAGAGATAATGTAGACTCTCAGGCAGATAAAGGATAAAGGAAGAAAAAAGAAAGTATCACAGTGTGTATCTTTTCTTTTTCAGTTTAAGAAAATACTCTTTAACTTCATTTGTTTTCAAAATAAGTGATATGAAAGGATTATTTAAAATATATCCATTGTCCCTACCATAAACCACATACAATTATCTAAATCTTTTTTAAAAAACTGCCACCCCCTCCCAAACATACCTTTATTGCTCCTTGCAGTGAGCGGGCAACTTCACCTATGACAGATTCATAATGTTCAACACCTTTTACATTTGATGTATACGATAGAAAGAGCCCGGTAATGCCCTTCTCAGCTATTTCTTTCCTGAAGGTTGCTGAATTTATAGATGGGATACTCTTTATGGTACTACTAGTTCCAGACTGAGATTGAGTTCTCTCCTGTCTACTAGAACCGCCATAATTAATTCCACCTCCCATGCCGCCTCCAAAAAAGTTGGCAAAAATATCATCTAAGCCAGAACCACTACCAGGACTTCCCCCAAAAGAAAAAGAAAATGATTTTGAGCCTCCTTGTCCACCCATATTTTGCCAACCACCAGGCTTGAAATTGAACCCACTTTGTCCCGGACCACCACTTGCAAAGTGTGTATATCCACCATAGTCTCCACCACTTCCAGCATCAAATCCAGGAGCCCCCTTTTCATTTCCATAGAGATCATAGTTCTTCCTCTTCTCCTCATCAGAAAGAATTTCATATGCTGAAATGAAGATACAGAAACCACATATTGGCATTACAAGCAAGACGGGGGAAAAGAAGAATTGGAAGGCTCATCAGTTATGCAGCAAATAACAAACGGATATATGCCATCGTAAGATGACAAAGATATGAATTCCATATGGATAAATGATAAGAGGATTAAGAGATGGTATGAGGTTCACTCTATTGTCACTAAATATAGCAGTGCAGAGTTAATAAAAAATAGCAGTATCGTGATATAGTACAGAGTAATTAGTAAGCAAGTGAACGTATGATTGCTACCAAACATATGAAATTTACAATGACCATCATAGAACTAACGTAAAAGAAAACTCAAATCATGCCAGCAGCTTGTTTTGTTTGTAAACTATTAATTGACAGATCATTCTGTTATTAGTGAGAATCTTGGGAACACAGAAAAAGCAAAAGTGACATTGTACCGTTATTAATCTCAGAAAATTTCTCTTGTGCCCCTTTATCTTTGTTCTTATCAGGATGATATTTCAGCGAAAGCCTGCAGCAGAAGATATGGATAAAAAGAATCAATGGCTAAACAAGTCAGGTCTCTGAATCAGATAAAAACCGATTTATTGGTTTCCTCTATATTTGGCTCAAAATACTATTCCATTATAGTGGTGCAATAGCTGAATGAATACAGAACAAGCTAAGTTCAATAATATAAAATAAAAAGCATACAAAGCACATACTTATGGAAAGCTTTCTTAATATCCCGTTGATTTGTATTTTTGTCAACCCCAAGCGCCTATTACAAAATTAAAGTAAAAATGAGCAAGAAGTTATAAATGTTGAAATCAGAAATGTAATTCTTGTAATTCGAAATTACCTAGTAAATCAAAACTCTGCAAGCAATAACCTTTTATGAGTCTAAGAGTTGCATATCAGATAAGGATGAGAGTCTTCAGCTAATTGATCTATTCCTAGAAAATTAGGAAAGGCTACGAGTTATGACTAATCCTATAAATGGGAAGTCCTCCATACCCATCGATTCATTCCCTTTATTCAATTTTTTCTAACTAAATCCATGAACCTATAGTAAAAAAAATTTAGGGCAATATGAAATACAAGCTTTTATTCCTCCTGGTCAATGCTATAGTAGCAATATCACTAGCAGTATTAATACTGCCCAAGCGCATAATTGCTGTTGTCATACTTGTTCTAAAATATATATGTCTAGATGTCTAATTTCATCTTTAGACTTTGGATGATCTATTTCTAAAGCCCCTTCATCAATATAACTACACATTCTTACTTTTAAACGTTTTTCTTTAACATGGCAAATGACTAAAGTCAAAACGTGTAATTCTTTTGGGAATGGAGGGACTATTTAATAAAGGCGTACAAGCACATCCCTTACTCGGTTACTCCAAGGATAAGTAGTACTTCCTCCGACGCAAAAAAGGTTCCACGTTCCATTTTGTTTGTCCGAAAAATGGTTAACATTCTTTCTCCTTGCATAACCCTCAACCATTCAATTTTAACTTTCTTAATAGTTGTTTCTGGTTAAATTTGGAACCTTAACTTGGGAGGGAGAAAGTATGAAATAAGGAGTCTAGCCAATTTGGTACACCCTCTCCTCTTCTATAGGACCATTCGGGTTTGATCCATGCCACAAATAGTACCCTGGGTTTATTGGCATGGATATCAAGGTTTGAAAACATCGGTTCTATGTCTGCCGGTTACAATTCAATTCAATCCATTGTACCGTGCAAGTACCACACTTTACGTACTCTATTGCATCTCCATGGGACATGGGCGATGATCGATTTACTTTACTAAATTACGAAAGAAAAATTGAAACCGAAATTTCACCTTCAAGAACCAGCAGCGAACGAGGATCGGTAGTTAAACTAAACAAGCTAACCCTATATTTTATATGAATTGAAGCAAGAAACTTTTCACAGACTGAGAGAAAATCAGGGATATGCTGGAGAGACTGACCTTATACGGATCAAGGGTTTTTGATTCCACGGCGAAGAGAAACAATGCAAATAGAATCGCAGCTGATGTTAATCTGGGCTTCATTGTTCAATTAGAGGTAACAGCAATTATTCCGATCCTCGTCCTTGCTCCAATCTCTGTTCCAGGAGAATTCGCAAGCGTTTCACAGAAACCGAGAGAGGAAGACGATGAAAGGGGTCGCAATAAATAGATTTTCCGCGGGTAGAAACATCTAGATGATTCGGGTTATACGTGGCAAGTCAAAAAAGGTTCCACGAGTTTTAGCCAATCGCCTCTTACCGGTGCGTTGTGAACTGTGATGTGTAATGCTAAATTTGGGCTCACATTATCCATCCATTGCATTCCTTCCGCAAACTAATTCCCCCTTGGTTTCATCACATCCAAAACGAATGTAATGAGATGAACTAGAGTCTCTAAGGTGTCTCAACTAAATTTGACGGTGTAAATTTAATGGTGTAATGGTATAAATTATCTCGACCGAAATTTCAAACGTCAAAAATTTTGACGTAGAAACCTAATCAGGAGAAAATCATGGTGCCAACGGAAATTTTTATTAATATCGAGGAGTTTGTACACAGTATATTCTTAAGATGTTTCAACTAAATTTGAGATGATCGATAGTCTCTACTGGGTTTCAACTAAATTTGAGGGTGCAATGGTACATTGAAGAAAGGGTTGTTCAAGTTTCGATCCAGACCAAAAAACTTGACCGGACTTTGGAGTTAGGTCCAGACCAATTGCATTTATGTACGATATTCGGTCCATGTCTATTGAATGTTCGGGTTTGGGTCCGATCCAGTCCAAACTTTAAACAAATTCGGTCCAGAGCGAATAGCCGAAATACTCTGTAATGTTATCCCATCACCTAAATCATTCAAATCAGATGCTCTAAATCTTATCTTCCATTCCGTCGTCCCCCAACAGGACACCGACGTCGACATCCCCTTTTTGTGTAATTGAAGTTAGATGCACACTAGATTTCCGCGGCTCACAATTGTCGGCAACATGAGGGGACGACGTCTCTATGCTCTCTGCTTTCAACTTTTGACCTTGTCAAGGAACCAACTCAACCACAAGTTCAAGCTTGTGATTGTGGCCCAGGAAATGTTTCTTATATTCTAAAACATCCCCTCACGTGCAGGCGTAGTCTTTTTCGAGCCTTGCACGTGAAACCTTAATTTTTTTAAAATTGGGTCACGCTGAGTTTCAAACCCGTAACCTCTTAGTCAACGAGGCTCTGATACCATGTCAAGGAACCAACTCAACCACAAGCTCAATCTTGTGGTTGTGGCTCAGGAACAATTATTTATATTCTAACACGCCCCCTCACGTGCAGGCATAGTCTTTTTCAAGCTTTGCACGTGAAACTTTAATTTTTTTTAAACTGAATGGCGCTGAGTTTCGAACCCGTGATCTCTTTAGTCAACGAGGCTCTTCAATCTATATTATCAGCTTTTTATTTTTTTTTATCTTTACTTTCGCATTTTGATTGCTAAATACAAGGGGTATTATTTATTTTTTTATGTATCTTTGGGTTTTTAAAGTTGGCTGTGTAAATGTGCTCTTTTTGCTCTGGAAGGATGTACTCCATAGTTCATTATTCTTCTACTTTTAAAGTTTGCTAGTTTTAATTCTTGTGCATCTTAGGGGTTGTATTCAATCTAGATTTCATAATGTTTTTCTGGATTCTAAGTGTCTATAGGTATTCAATTCAGATTTTGAAAAATTATTTGAAATCTGGGTGTATTTAATTCAGATTTTAAAAAATCTTTAAAAATATTTAAGTGTATTGAATTCAAATTTTATAATATCCTTCAAAATATGAGAGTATTCAAAATTGGTAGATTTCAAAACTTTTTTAAAAAATCATGGATTTTGGTGGATTTGTGAACCCAAAGTAGGTATACGAATCTATTTACAAATCCTTGGCAAAAGCTGAAGATTTTGCAGGAATCTCTAGTCGCCTTCATTTCCAGTTTCCTTTCTTTCATTCTTGCTTCGAGTCAGAGTTTTCAAGAAACATATTTCCGCAGCCTCTCTTCATTCCTCAAACCAATCGCCAACATAGTCTGCCAGGAACCAACGTCTGCACCCTTGCCCTGAGTCTACCATTTACATTCCTTCGCCTTCTTCATGTTTTTTATGTGGAAGTTATTATATACAGAGTACTCATCTTATGCGTGTTGCTTCCAATTGAATTAATTTGTTTAATTTGTGAGTGGAAGTTAGTTATTGCGTGAAGATTGGAGATTTGTATCATTTCCATGGAGTTCATATTTTTCTAGCTCTAGGATTTCAATAATCGAGACTCTTGAGCTCCATGGAACAATCCAAGGATTTTTAGAAATCTAAACAAATCTTGATTATTTAGAATACATCAAAATCTATCTAACTCTATATAGAATTTAAACAATCCGTGAATTTATAAAAATCTATAGATTATTTTAAAACGGCCCGATTCCATGGCCACTAGAAGGCGGAAGCCACTGCCCCCCTACGGAGCTTCATTCATAAAATTGATGATTCCTACCCCTCTAACCCCCTCGGTAAATCTCTCCGCCAAGTCCCGACCCAAACTCATGCCTTCACCTACGTCAATTGCACCTCGTAAGCATAATTGACTTTAAAGTCAAAAGTTTTGAATTTATGCTTACGAGATGCAATTGACGTAGGTGGGGATGAGTTTGGGTCGGGACTTTGCGGGGGGTTTACCGGGGGGTTAGGGGGTAAGAATCATCAATTTTATGAACGGAGCTCCGTAGGGGGCAGTGGCTTCCGCGGCCACTGGAATCCAGTGGCCATGGAACCAGACCGTTATAAAAAATCTAACATAATCTTTTAAAATCTGTTTTGAATACATACTCCTTAGTCTTTTCGGGTCTAATCACTCCGGTCCTATTGATTTCAGTCCGATTCGGTCTAAAACTCAATGCTTATAGGAGGCGGTCTTCGGTCCTTAATTTTTCTCCGTTCGATCTTTGGTCCGATTTGATTTGTTCAAGACATATGAACAACCCTAAGTAAAAGGGGTATGAGTACGTTAGGGTTGGGCTAGGGTAGGGGGTTTAACCGGGGGTTAGAGGGGTAGAAACTGTCAATTTTTTTAACAAAACCCCGCTTGGGTCATAGTATGGCATTGGGGTTCAATGACACTTGAACCCCTCCCAACTAATTCTCGTTTAACAAATTTTTTTATTATTTATTTTATAAATTGGATTTAAAAAAATGATCGACAACCTTTTAACCTGTTTCAACAAAAAATCTAAAATGTTTATACTTATAACAATACTTTTGTTTATTAGACGGAGGATGGGAGGATTATAAATTATATGAGTACTCCGTAATACGGAGTAAATAATATTCTTTTGTCCTACAAATATTTTCAACTTTTTTTAAAGTGTCCCATAAAGAATTCATACTTATGGTCCATTTGGTATACGGAATTGAAGGAATTAGAATTGAATTGGAATTGAAATTCAATGAGATTCAATTCCATAGAATTGAATTTACCAATTCCAATTCATTTTTTGTACTATCGATTCCAATTCCACATAATTTTTGTGCCACCAAACACCTGATTTGGAATTGAAGTTCTCAATTCCAATTCCATAGTTTGAATTTCATCTACCAAACGGGGCCTTATGTTATTTCCTCTTAAAGAAATGAGCACTGATTTTTTTCTTTTCTCTAAACAATTCAAATTTTAACTATACACATTTGACTTTTCAATTTTTTTAAAAAAATTCATGAAAGTTTATTTCTAATGTATTTATAGGACGAGGTATTATTCTTTATGTGTGTGAGAGAGGGTAGGACGAGGTATACATTTTTCATTTTGACATCCCAAAATTAAATTAATCTTTCTAAATATTATAGCCACTTTTGTTGGTGGAGTGAATTTTCAAGATGTTATATGATTTAGAAAAACAATATTCTCATCAGGTGCATTACAAAACATGAAATGACAAGTTGTCTTAATTTAACAAACAAGAACGGCGTACAAAACATAATTAACAAAAAATTGATCTGAAGGACCGTTAAAAAGGTACTTGGGATCCCTCTCTCTAGGTCCTATTGTGTGTCCATCTTCGAGATAACATTTGGAATAAACGAGGGCAGCAGAGTAATAAACGAGGGGAAGATCAAGAGTAATAAACGAGGGGAAGATCAAGAGTTATGAATTCAAATTCTACAATTTCGAATTCAAAATATTTTGAGAAATATAAAACTTACACTATTAAAATCAACATTTTCGTACATTATTTTGACCTAATTTGTTAGTTAAGAGTCTAAATTCAATTTACTTGGCCAATATAATTAATATTCATCAAGTAATAAACATAATCGTTGTCAAACCACGCTCTGTTTTCTTCCATTTCGTTTTATCTTTTAAATGCTGTAATCAACAAACAACTAAGTTTATATTATATTTTTCATTAATTTAGTCAATAGTCACACTTAAATTTTCACGCGCATGTGTGGCATTCCATGTGTTGTATGGAACACATATGACATTTTCCTTTACAAAAAGAATTCTTAAATTTTTTTCATAAAAAAATAACATAAATAAGGTAGTTTATTTAAAAAAATTTATGGCTAATTAAAATGGAAACACATATTTGAAAAATGAAGGTGCACATGTATATAAACGTAATAAAATAAATGGTGTGTAGGTTCAAAAATTTATAAGTAATTTTATTTTTAAAGATTATAAGATATTTAATTTATAAGACTTTTAAATAATGAAAATACTTTGTATTAAAAACATGTGTTATAATGATGAAAATATAATAAAAAATAATGATCATTTTAGTTAGAAATCAGTAAGATTTTATTTTAAAAATAAAATGTAAATAATGATTATATAGAATCAAGTTTAATATTCATGTAAAATACAAAAATATAGCAAGTGAAAGGTTTATAAACATTTTGATTACTTATTTTATATGTGTGGGTAGCATTGCATATGAAACATGGAATAAAACTGTCATTTTACTAAGTTTTTTATAAAAACAAATTAACATTTTATTTTATAAAATGATTATATAAAAACATAAATAGTTTTACAAAAATATAAAATCTACGTAAGATTTGAAAGAAACAAATTAATCTAAATTGCACTACATTGGCGTATAGAGACACATACATGATAAAGCATGATGAAAAGTTCTAAACAAAATTATATAGCTAATAAAG